CTGCGTTGTTCTAGTTCCTGTGGATGGTACAGAAAGGGTGGAACCAAAACCTGTAAATTATATTCTTCCTAGAAGCCTGTAGCACTCTGGTAGTCTCTCAGAGTAGCCAGACCTGAACATATGGCACAAGGTGTAAATTATACCATGGATTTATAAAACTGTGTTGTAGTTCCTAACGTTCCTGAAGTGCCAGTGTTGGGGCAGGGATTGAAGCAGGGATCAGCAGGTTAAGGGTAATCCAGCAGGAATGGATGGCTCAGTGAGCTGTAGCTGCTCCAAACCAATATGTTCTTAAGATGCCTCCAGAATGTATCCAGGTGGCCAACCCTCAAAACACAAATACTGAATCACTCCTGGATGTGATTTTGCTGGTGGTGAGAATGGACTATTTTGATTTTGCAGAGAAAAGTTTTCCTTCCTCATTTTTTTGACTCCTGTATTAAGCTTCCTTTTCTGACACTTCACTCTCTTCTTTTTAATTTGTTTTAAACTTATTCTTTCTCTTCAGATCCTTCATGCTCCCCTTATTTTCCTCTTTACAGTTGATCATGGTGATGTTATAATTGGCTTAGGGGAAGAGGATTGTTTTACAGTTGTAGCTTTACCTTCTGCTTGTGGGTGTTGATAAAGGATTTTATTCTCAAAGTTGAGCTTCAGAAGAGGGACATTCTGCATTGTCTCACTTGGGAAGAGCACAGGTGTAGGTGTCACTGAAGCATTAATATTAAACTGCATGGCCACCTCCCTCAGCCAATAATAGTATAAGGAAATGGTTTTACTGGATATGAACAGATTACTTGGACTTCAGCAAATCAAAAGATCCTTCAGCTCATATTCTGTGTTGGAGTATCTACATAGATTGTAGCAATTAATTTGCTTTCCTATAGTGCAAATTGCAATCTTCTTGGCATTATTGTATTTGGCTGATGACTGTCTGCCAGTCTACAACTTGTAAAAGATGAGATATCAGCAATTCTCCATAAGTGCTGATAAAATATTGGTCAAAATATTGATCAATACCTGTCGTACAGTGTAAAGAGTGATTTTTAAAGATTAAAAACCATTGTTTTATCTGTTGTTGTCAGTTTCTCTGTACTTACATGAATCTTTGAATTCTCTGCAGTTACCCTCCCACCAGTAGTCCCATAAGTTTCTATCATGGCCACATCCTTCCCTTAATTTCTGTAACAAACTCCAGCTGCTTTGAAGGTGGATATTGTGTGTATTGTTCCTCTATGCTGTGTATTGTTCCTTTACCTCAGCCTGATGCTAAAGCAAAAATTACTTAGAGGAATGCCAGACCATGGAGTTGCTAATGTTTTCCATTTGTCTTTCTTAGAATATCACAAGCTGGAAAGAATCCTCAAGGATCATCAATTCCAACTCCCTGCTCCTCACAGGGCTACCTAAAACTAATCCATATGATTAAGAGCATTGTGCAGATGCTCCTTGAAATCTGACAGGCTGGATGCCTTGAGCGCTTCCCTGTGGCCTGGTCCAGTGACTGACCACTCTGTGAAGAACCTTTTCCTAATGTCTAATCTGAATTTCCTCTGAAGTAGTTTCATTCCATTCTCTTGTGTCCTGCTGCTGATCACCAGAGAAAGGAGATCTGCACCTCGCTGCTGGACTGTGATGAGCTCACCCCTCAGACTTCTCCAAGTTCCACAAACCAAGAGACCTCAGCTGCTCCTACTGAGCCTTCCCCTGGGACCTTTCACCAGGCTGGTCACCCTCCTCTGAACACACTTTAATAGTTTCTTGTCCTTCTCAGGTTGTGGTGCCCAAAACTGCAATCAGGGCTTGAGGTGAGGCTGCACCAGCACGGAGCAGATCAGCACTCACCTCCCTCATCATGCCGAGCCTGGTGACCTCAGGGCATGGCTGGCCTTCTGCCTTTAGTGGTGTTTGCATCTCTGTGCTGTCCTCTGCTAGGCTCTGGGAGTTGTATGGTGCCACAAGAAACAGCCAAAGCAGTTCCAGTCGGGAGGGATCCATGTGAAGCACTAACCCTGCTGTAATCTTCCTCTGTCCATGTCTGGGTGAGGTACCTGTGGATGTTCTCAGTTCAGCTGAAGAAAGAGCAGGGATAATTTCTCCCAGGCTGAGCCTGGGAATCTTAGACAAAAGAATTTAAACAATTATTGTCTCTCTTTCTGTAACCATTGGTTATAGCTATGGTTCTCCACGGTGTGCTGTTCATAGTCACCAATAATGTGAGATGTTTCTACTTTGAGACCAATCAGGTCCCACTTAGCGAGTGAGACTATAACGCTCACAACTTCTTGCTAATAAAATTATTCTTAGCCTTCTGATCCACCTGAAGACTGGAGTCTTCCTTTACATCCCTGACTCAGCAGCGTCAGGCACCTGCTTTGCCCATTGCTCTTTGCTGCTGCTACTGCTGTAAGGAATCATGGAATTGCTTAGGTTGGAAAAGAGCCTCTAAGATCTTCAAGTCCAGCCATTAACCCAGCACTGCCAACCCCACCTCTAAGCTGTGTCTCCTAAGGGTTCAGGGCTGCTAGAGCACGGAGAAAAACTACTCTGAAGTGATTTGTCAAGTTAAGAAGGTGGACACCCACGGGAAAACATCTATGCCAGAGGGATATCCCCACAACAGGGACTTTGAACTACCCTGTCCACTTCAAAAAAGGAAGGGCTGGGAGGGCCTCAGTGGTAACAGGGCTTTCCTGGATGACTGAGCACAGCTGTTTCCAGAGCCTGGGACAGCCTGGATAAAGTACACCTACCTACTTTGACACTGCATCTTCAGCAAGTTACAGAGACTGGAGTTGCTAACTAGAGATTTGGAATTGACATCCTTATGACAAATAGAGGACAGAAAAAATGCAAATTGTCATTAGTTAAAGTAGTCAAATAGAGTATTTTGCTGGCTTTGGCTGGGGTAATTTCCTTTCCAGTGGCTGCTGTGGGGCTGTGGTTTGGATGAGTGCTGAAAGCAGTGCTGATAGCACAGGGATGTTTTTGCTGTTGTTTGGCAGAGCTTGCACACACCCAGCCCTGCTCTGCTCCTCTCCCCACCCAGCAGTGAGCGGGCTGGGGGTGCACAAGGAGCTGGGAGGGGACAGAGCCAGGGCAGCCCACCCCAGTGCCCAAAGGGACACCCCACAGCCCAGGGCATCGTGTCCAGCTGGGGAAGCTGGGGAAGGAGGAGGAAGGGGGTGTTTGAGTCTCATTTCCCAATAACTGCTATGTGGGATGGAGCCTCTCTTTTCAGTTGCCCATGGGAAGCAGGGAACTAATTCCTTGTTTTGCTTTTCTTGCATGTGCATCATTTGCTTTACCTCTTAAAGTGTTTTTATTTCTATCCATGAGTTTTCTGACTTCTACTCCTCTGATTCTCACCCTGATCCTGCTGGTGGGGGAGTGAGTGACTGACTGTGGTGCTTGGCTGCCAGCTGGGGTTAAACAGTGCCAACTATCTGTGTGGTAGCTGTAATAAAGGGTTATGACCTTGGCACACAACACACTTGCATTTTTAACTTTCATCCCCTAGAAGTTATGTTTACTATCAAATTCGCACAGTCTTGTTTGTGTGTAAGTGAAATCTATGCAGTCCTACAGAAGAAAGGTGGACTGCTACTGATGTTTTTGGTGTCTCAAGAAAAACAGAACAGAGCAGTTTGTGAAAACAGGTGCCCCAAAAGGGGTAGAACTCAGCCAGCACATTTGGTGTGGAAAAGGAAAACTACAAGAAAGGACAAAACTTGCTTACAGAACAGTTTAGGGACGTGTTGCTTTAAAGAAGACTAGTTTTTAATTTAGGTGCTATTGCTGCTCATAACAAAAGAGAGTGAGAGCTACACCAAAGGCTCTGGGCAAAGGATTGCTTGAGCAGAATGTGGTGATTGGGCTGAAGAGGTTGAAAGATGTGAAAGGAATCTTTATCTGTGACCACAGGTCTGTCTGTCTGTGAGAGCCCAACAATCCAAAGAGGAGCTGAGATGGTGTGGTGGAGGTGATGGAAAAAGAAGATTGGATCTTAGGAGTGAAGCAATAGGTGAAAACTGAGATTGAATGGTAAAACCTCAGCGATGGTGAAGAGTTTAATGTTTGCTTGTTTTGTTTCTCCTGATGGCATGAGTTGCTACAGCCTGACCTTCTGAGGTTTGTTGAGATCTCTCCGCCCAAGCTGGGAAGACAGACCTTGGAGAGCACGTGTTCAGGGAACAAGCAGCTCTGTTTGAAGCATTTTCGGCGTTTTCCTTCTGTTGGGCACAGTCTGTGCTCCTCTCGAGTTCTACTCCCTGCGAGCCCGGCTGGGAGCCGCAGGGCATCTCCCGGTGGTGACACCAGCGGATTCCCGGCCGTGTCCCAGCCCTGCCGGGCATCTCCCGGTGGTGACACCAGCGGATTCCCGGCCGTGTCCCAGCCCTGCAGGGCATCTCCCGGTGGTGACACCAGCGGATTCCCGGCCGTGTCCCAGCCCTGCAGGGCGGCTGGCAGGCGGCGTTCGCATCCCGGGGCTGTGCGGGGACAAACCTGCGCCGCTCCGGAGCCTCTGTCCCGGGCAGAGCTACATCTCCCGGCGGGCTGCGGAGCGGGGGCACGGCCCGGGGAGCTCGGGATTCCCGGGATCTCGGTGCCCGCTCCGGCCGGCCGGTGAGAGCGAGCGGCGGGCGCGGTCCCGGGATGCTGCGGGACGCGCTGGGCTCGGGAAGTTCCCGGCGGGATGCGAGCCGTGCCCCGGCGGGGAGAGCAGCTTCGGCTCCTCTTGTGGCAAAGGAAAGAGCTTTCCCAAGCCAGTCCGTGTGTCTAAGCCTGCGGGGCTGAAGGTCCGTCAGTGCCAGGGATTTAGAGGGTGCGCGGAGCTCCGCTGCTGCTGCTGCTCCGCGGATTCCTAACAATGGGAATTGTTCACGCGCTGGGTCCTCTGGGGACTTTTTGCTGATTTCGGGAACAGGAAGGCTCTAATCTGCATTCCTGATAGGGGAGCGTGTGTGGCATCCCCAACAGCTGGAGGCAGAGGTGCTTTTCCACGGTAAGGTCCCTGATAAGCGGGATTTACCAGTGCTTATGGAAACAACAATTTTATTTAGCGTTCCTCGGGAATGTGGCCAGGTTTCCTTGCTTAGTTAAAGTAAGTCACTCTAACTATTGGCATGTGAATGGTTTCGGTTTGGTTTGTTTGCTCATTTCTAAATGGGGATATGAAATCGAAGTTTTATTTATTTATGGATAATTTTGCCAGACCTGAGGATGATTTGATTGAGTATTTTATGCGTAATTCCCTTTGCTGAACAAGCGTTTTAGGCATGAGAAGAAAACCTTATAAGTTTAACGCCCATATTTTGTTGCATAACTGAGCAATCTGCAAAGACTAAGCAAATTATGTACTCTGCTCAAGCTGGGTTTAGTTTGTCGGAATTCAGTTGGGATTTTGATTGCCCAGGAGTTAAAACATACCATTTCCAAATGCATTGCTTAATTTTCCAACTCTGCTTAGTTAGGCTGCTTTCTCTTCCATTCTTTTCCTAGCCTAGCTTTATCTAAAATAAGAGAAATTGCCTAGTAATTCTAGGTGAACCTACAAGATAGGATCGGTCTTAGAAGCCAATGTCTCAGAGTTACTCAGAGAGCCACAAAAGCAGGGTTCATATTTTGGTTGGCACTACTCCTTGGAGATGCTGTGCTTCTCCCCTGAAGCAGATATTGCTCCTGTCTGAAGTAAGCTAAAGCTGAGGCCTGAGTGCACAGATTGCTAATGCTTACTGAAAATCGATGGAAGATAGTCCCCAAAAGCAATTAAGGAGCTTTGAAAATCAATCCACAGTTGAAGTTGTCCAAGGACAGGGATTAGATCTTTGTCAGAGCTGAAGTCTTTGTGGGAAGGTCCTGGCACAGTGTCAAGTTCATGGCTCTTTGTTCTACATCTTTTCCAGTCTGAATTCATTTCCAGTCAAAAAATTAAGAAAAAAAAATCATTCAAACTTGTGTGTGACTTGCTAAACTCTGCTGGCTTGTTATTTTTCCCAGGGTTTGAGGTTTTATTTTGTGCGATCATAGCGTTGAAGTAAATAATTTGAAATAGAGCACGGTGGGTAATAACCAGTGCAGCCAGAATCCACAGGCAATTTGTCTGTATGAATTGCCCAAAATAGGCTTTGGATTACTGGGTGTTTTAAAAGGCTTTTTTGCCTCCTGTTGATTTACTGTACCTTAAGTATTTGGTCATTCTGTAGGGTAATACCATTCCTTTCAGCCTGTTTGTTCATCCAGGGTTTCAACAAAGCTTTCAGACCTACCCAGGATTTTTAGGCATCAAATGGCAATGTTTTAATCTTGTAAGCACTGTGAAACAAGCTCAGGCTCCTTATTGGAAGGACCAATTTGTTCTGAGTAATTACAAAAGGTAAATGAAACTGTTAGGGGTAATAATTCTGGAATGGTAATACTCCCAGAAATTCTTGTTGCTTCAGTAATAGTTTGTCAAGTAATTTGTCAGTGGAGAAGCAGCAAAGCAGAGCTGGTGGTGGTAGGGGAAGCACAGCTTACAGCTCTAGGCAAAGCAAATCGATTATCCTACATGTTCCTATGCACATTTCTTGTTGGAATATTCAAATTCTGTGGCCGGATGAGCAGAGGTAAAGCCTTACCTTTGTGGTAGGGTGTGCACTATTTCATTGAGCCTGCAAGAGGATTTTCTTCATGCCATGCACAATCCCAGAAGCAGGGCAGACTTCTGTAAAGTGCAAGTTCCAAATGTGGCAAATAGATCTCTAATTACTGTCTAAGTCCCTGAAGAAAAGCCACTTGGAAAGTAGAGCATCTTGCTTCTCTCTGAAGAGCTTTGGTCTGCTTGTAATTAATGTTGAAAATACTTTTTTCCCTTCTGAATACTACTGCTGAAAAAGTCCTGGATTCTTCCTCTGCACACATTATTTTTAATTAAAAGCATCACTGTGTGTGTAAATGGGTGTTTACATAAATAGTAAAGCACAAAACACCATCTTCTAAAGTGGCATTTGCTTTAATATCTTGGTCATGCTAGACATGGCAGGATGGCTGACAGTGATTTGAAAACACCCTGGGGTTTATGCTTGGTTCTTTTAAGCAGCATTCTGAGTTCTTCATATCTATTTAAGCATGTTGTTATTGATTAAGTGCTTTCTGATTGGCAGGGCTGGGAATATTTTTGTGGGAATTGTGGCAGCCATGCTTTGCTATTTGTTCTCTCTGATAGTGCATTTGCCAGAATGAAGAAATGGCCTGTGATCATGTTTATGGAGGGATCCTGCTGGATTAAAGAACAGGAGCTGTTTGCTGGCTTTCCTCTCTGGAAAGTGAGCTGTCACCTAACGTTCCTCCAGCTTTTTTTTTTTTTTTTTAAACATCTCTGCAGGAGATTATTAGGTGCAATCCATGGGACACAGAAAGGGCTCAGCAAACTTTTGGGTTTTGTTGTTCTTTTTGTCTCCAGCAATTCTCCTCACATTTATTGCGCCCAGCAGTCAAATTTTGTTCCTCCTGTGAGTTCTGCAGTTAGGACACGCAGCTCCTGCTCTCCCTGTTTGTTCTGTATCTGCAGCCTGGGTGGGCTTGGCTGTCTGATAGCAGACAAGTCTCCCTCTCAGGTAGGACACCCGTGTGTGAGGAATCAAAACCCAAGCTCTGCTGGAGCACCAAGCCCTCCTGGGTGCTTCATCAAGAGTGCTAATTGCTCTCATCTGGTGGGGACAGGTAGTGCATTTTTCTAGATGAAGGCCATGAATCCAAACAGAACTTAAATATTGTTATTAAGGGAGAGATAAAGTAGCGAGAATTGTTCTTGTTACATGTTTACTCTGGCACATCCTTTTGGTGTTGCAGTTATTTGACAGAAAATGATGGCTACCATCTGTTCCCCTCCTCTGGCAACATTCAAAGTTCCTTTCCTCGTTGGGAACGAAGTCTTTGTAGAGAGACAACAAGTGTTGGTCTCTTCCTGTTTCCATAGTCACATTTAATATTATTTTTTCCTTTTACATTTACAGCTCTAGGCAAAATGAATTGATTATCTTATGTATTATTTTGCACATTTCTTGCATTATACTCGGAGTATGCAGGTTTTGTGGCCAGGGAGCCTGGTGTCCCCGAAAAAGAAGGAAATCTGAAATAATAGATGAAGTAAGGAGTCTCTCATAGAGGTAAGAGGGTGTCAGACATCATCGAGGAAGGAGGAATTGTAGCATCACAGAAAAAGGAGGAAATGTGGGAAAGTTGGACATGACAGAGGATTGAGATCATCTCACACTGAGGAAGGAGAAAGTCTGACACACTGGGAAGAGAGAATCTGGCACCATGAAGGAAGAAGAGAGTCTGACATCACAGAGGTACGATGGATTTGGACGTCTCAGAGGTAAGAGGGAGTGTGGCATCACACGTGGAAAAGGAAGGAAGGAAGGAAGGAAGGAGTCTGTCATTACAGAAGTGAGAGGGAATCTGCCATCACAGAGGAAAGAGAGAGGGTTGCACAGAGGTAAGAGCAAGTCTGGCATCAGGAAGGAAGAAGAAAGTGGCACATTGAGGAAGGAAGAGAGAGGTCTGACATCACAGAGCTGGACATCGTAGAGGTAAGAGGGAATGTGGTGTCCTGAAGGAAGGAGGCATCACTGAGAAAGGAAGAAATGGTCATAGAGATAAGAGAAAGTCTGACACCACAGAGGAAAGAAATAATGTGATGTCACAGAAAAAAACAGGAAATCTTCACTACTGGAGGATGGAGCCTCATCCTAAAGGTAAGAGGGAGACTGGTGTGACAGAGGTAAGAGGAAGTCTGGCATCACAGAGGGTGGAGGTCATCTTGCATCCCAGAGGAAGGAGGGAGTTGGCATCACAGAGGTTAGAGGGAGTCTCACCTCATGGGGCAAGGAGCACATTCTCATTCATGCTGCCCTGACTACTTGGAGTCGTGATCCTAATTGAAATTCACAATGTGCACCTCATCTGTCTTGCAGTTTGCCAGAAAATTCCTCTGGCAGTCTTTATATTCATCGTTTCTCTCTCCACACCTTCTTTTAACTGAAGGGTTGTCATGTGCTTTGTTCTTACCTACCTCAAACTGCTTGCACTCTTTTTTTTTCCCCTCTAAAGCACCACATATACATCAACTCTGCATGTTTTAATAATTAAAGGTTTCAGTAACACAGTTTTCTAACAGTGCTAATACAAAAAGCTTGTAAATCTGCTAGCTGAAAAGATCTTTCCCTCCCTGATTCCTTGGAAGAATCTGCAGAGACTCAGACTGATGGAAGATCCTGCAGTAGACAGAAGGGGCCATGCCGTGCTGTACCACCGAGCAGTTTGGGATGTAAACAAGTCTTATCTGGAGATCAGGGCAGGCAAAACGTTGGCAATAAAGCTACGGCAGGGAAGGAGGGCAACCTTTTACTCTTCACTGCTGGAGGATTTGGTGAAGCTAAAATTAGAGCCCAAATTTGCCTCAGGGCCCTAGGAACAATTACCTCGATCTCATTTCCTTATCTGTAATATCTCACCTTTTGGTTCATTTCCACCTCCTCTGTAAAATGCAGATGCTGGCACAGGATGGGGAGGTGAACCTCATTATTGCTAGAAACTCCAGTGGAAGGCAAAACAGAACCAAGTGCTGTTCATAATTTCTTTTCAGACGCTAGGAGTGAAATGTTGAAGTAAAGCTCAAGATGTTGTGGCTAAGCATTGTTTAAAAAACTTGTTGCTGGCATGGTATCCTTCCCTCCTTTAACTGGAAGATGGGATTTGAGAGAGCTTTCAGCTGTGTTCATCCTCCATTGTGTGCCAGGCTGTTGTCCCTTCTCTGCACCCGTGCAAAAAACCCTGTTCTTGCTGGGATTTGGGGATCATTAATAGACTAAAGGCTGGATAGGATAAATAGGATAAAATCTTTGCATGATCTCACCTTAATGCATTATTATGGTAGTTTGAACAGCTCTTTCACCCTTAATTATTGTGGCTGAACAGTGCTGATTTAAGAGTCCTTTCGTGGCTTTTCTGTCTGCAGAGTCTGAAACAGAAATTATTGCAGATGGAGAGTACATCTCATTTCTCCTGAATCATGCACACAGTCATTAGATCACATTAATGGGCATTACACAGATCCCA